TTGTGGGTCCTGCAATGTAGGAGGCAAATTAAAATGTCTTTTCTAGGGATCAATAAACAATAAATCGTTAAACTAAGTGGTTGCATGTTTCGGCTTTTAGTTTGACATCTTGCTACCACCTGTGGAAGCAGGCAGATTCATGTAAAAAAGGAAGAAAAAAAAAAACAGCATGAATGCAAATATTTAAAATGTGACAAACCAAAACTAAGCTCGACACTGAGGCAACACGTTAGGTGGTACAATTCACATTTGCATGATAGAAGGAAACATGTACTCAGGTCGCACCATAATAAAAGCAAGTAGGGCGGTGCAATATGGCTGAAAAATGTATCACGATACAAGCGTTTCATATCAGTCAATATCGATAATTATTGATTCAGTATATTTGTATATTTGATTCAGTATATTTGTTGACGTTTATTGTTTTATATATTTGAAACAAGAAGAGGCAGGAGAAACATGGCTGCCTAACTGGTGACAAGACCTTTCCTCTTTCATCAACAATTTCCTCTCGATTTGTTGCACTCATTTTCTCCTTCCACTCCACGTTTTTTTTTAAGCAGCTCTAAGGTACGAAACAACTAGTGCACGTTACTTATCAGGTTGTTGCTAGYTTACCAAAGAGTGAGTGAATTAGTTGCTGCCAACAACCTTGCTTAGCTGGACCATGAGAAGCTGAGCAGCAAAAGCTAAAGCCTTTCCTCTGCCTACATCTCCCAGAATGCCATGCGGTTCTGGATCAGAGTTCAGTGAAATTATCAATGTTCTGACATATTTTCTATTGACATTGATCACATGTCTACAGCAATATATATTGCTATGGAATTATTGCCCAGTCCTAAAAGCAAGCAATAAAAATACAAAAAGAATATCTCTCAAATGCAGACAAAACAACATACGCGTAACATGCTGAAAAAATAGAGGTAAGATCAGTGCAGGTTCATCGTCWACAAGATGGCAGCATAATTTACTGTTGTTCAAGTTGTTTGTTGAAAATTCCTCTATATCTTTATATTGCAATAGTAAAAAAAATGTCTTTTTTTTCTTACATCGTGCAATCCCTAATCTGAGAGGCAACATGAGCACATTCATAAGGCTTCTCATTGTTGTGCAATGGAAAAAAACACTGTTGTTGAAACACAACCACAAGCCGATTGGTGCAAGAATAACTGGAACGTCTTCACACATGCCCAGAGTTCCCACTGGTGTCAGCTAACCAAGAAACCAGTTCATTTCCAAGATGAAGGAACAAGGAAGGTATGTGTGTGGAAATGGTTCCTTCATTTAACCCATAAAGCATCATGTTGCTTTTTAAGCTTTTGGTGGTCATAATGTGTTGACACAAACTGATGCAGTTTTTAAAAGAGGAACAGCAGCAAAATGAACGTGATCGTGTGTGTGTGTGTATGTGTGTGTGTGTGTGTGTGTGTCAATGGGGCACAGCCAGTGAAGGTAATGCTGTTAAATACAAACACAGGGGTTCGCAAAATTAGCTGAACAACATTGTTTTGATCTGGTTTTATTCGGCTTTCTGTATTACCGTAATCTGCTGCTGTTCAGTTTTTGGTCATTCACACAAACCAGAGGTGACTTTAAGGAACAAGCTGATGCATGCATGCTGCATGCATCACCTCCAACCACATTAAATATGTTGTGTGACCAAAAAGGATGTTTGACTTTTGTTTTGTTTTTTTTTCTTCTCATTCTGGTGTCATCAGCTAAATTCACACATCTGCAGCCACGCACCTGGGGGGTTTACTGGAAAATTAGTTAAAATTATAATTATGATTGATCAAGCTTCGACAAACCTCCAAAATAAAAGCCAACAATGACTGAAAAACAAAGGAAAACTTAGCAAGAAAACAGAAGGGGAAGGATAAATGCAGAACTTGAGGCTTGAAAACACCAGTTTACATACAAACGGGTTTTTAGCACAGATCGTGTTTTTTTTTTACAGCTGCTTTAAATAAAACGTATTAGGTTCAATAAATCTATAAACAAATACAGAGTTAATCTGCCACAAAGACAAAAAAAAAGGGAGGCGAGATGGAGATGATGTTACAAGAACACCAAACCCACGCTGTAACACATATGTCTTTATTTGAACGAGCAGCAGCCACTTTTAGTTCTGCAGGCAGTTTGGTGCAGAGAACATCAAAACACAAACCATCTACCTCAGAATAAAAAATATGGGCCTCATTTGTCTGCAGGCCGTAACTTAACAAGGCTGTCTGTCCCATTACAGCTTTACATGTGTTTGCATGAGAACTGCAGTCCTAGTTCAGCCTAAACTACAACACAAYCATCTTCCTGCTCACAAAAAAAAGTGCTGACAACAAGTTAGAAATGACAAATCTTTTAAACACCTTCAGGTTACAAGCTGTATTATTCATCGAGTTCAAATGGAAGCAAAATTGAGTTTTAAATGACAAGTCTGATCAATCATACTGCTTCAAAATGCCAAGTTCTGAGAAACAATTCTGTTCCCAATAAAACCAGTCATCAACACTACAGAGGATTTAACTATTCCAAAGAAGCTCTGAAAACTAAATGTTTGCAGAAACTTGAGTGCTTTGTACTTCAAAATGACATTGTGTAAACTGCATGCATTGCATTTCCAGCGCATTCTTCAACACTGCCTGTGTACTCAAGGACTTATGTTTGTGCATGAGTGAGTGTGCACCAGCTGTCCATGGCTCTGCTGAGCAAAACCTTCTGAAAATAAAGTTCAAGTATGCCCAAAAAATAAAAAGAAAGAAAAAAGAAAGAATAAAAACATAGCAATAGCTATCACGAGCTACATCCAGGACCAAAAAATATGCAGTTTAAATACAGAAAAATCCTCACAAGACATTAACTGTAGATAAATGACTGAACAAACAGGGCCTACAGTTACCAAAGCCCATGTCAGACCTCTGTAAACAGTTTGAAGAAAGTGGGGAAATATATATGTAACCCTCTAAATCCTACTTTAGACGGTGAAATAAACAACCCTTTGCTGCTGGAATTATTCCCAGCTGCTTTCAAGAAGTTGACCCCMAAAAAAATAAAAAAGAAATTCAAGCTAAACTCCGTTCTCACGGTTTGTTTCCGCTTCACTGGAACTCACAAAACCAAAGCTTAAACAAGAATAACAAAGATGAAAAGTTAAGGACGTGTTTGTTTCGCCTTACCTCTGAAAGTCTGCAAGGCTCCGCAGGGCTGATAAATCTCCATTGACCGTCAGTCTCCTGCGGCTGCTGATGAAGAACCGCGGAGCAGCCAATCCCGACGAGCTGGCAGGAAGAGACAGCAAGGGTTGCCAGGTAGGAAGTGACGAAAAGTCGTCACTGTCGCCTAAAAAGTGTATCCAGACCAAAAGGTATTTAGAAGGCGGAGCGGGGTTGCCATTTTTAAGTGGATGCGGTGTGTGTGAGGTTACGTAATTGGCACATGATTGGTGCACGGAGGGCATTGGGCGCGATCTCGGTCTGATTGGCCGGAGGATGATAATGTTTTTGTTCACGTGACTTAAAACGAGTTTTTTTTTCTTTAGTTGACGGAAACAAAACATCATTCATATATTTGGGCTTTTTCAAAAGTATTTATTGTCCGTTGTGAAGTCCTAAATACAATAATTACTGCTTATCTGGCAACCCTGGACAGCATCCACAGACAGCTGCAGAACCTGGAGCTCAGTCAAGTTTTATTGGGTTTCTGTGCCGCACTTTCTGCAAGAAAACAGTGCCGTCTACTCTAGAGATTTCATTTATTAAAACAAAAATGATCTGACAAATACGTGGGAACTAAACTGGTAAATGTATGTGCCACAAAACTTAACTAACTTCCTGTCACGTGTCCATTTCCGTTGACTGAAGTCGTCTCTGGTTTCAGCYGCTGCAGCTGTGCCGCTGGGTCTCTTATCCGGTGTTTCAGCTGTGATGCAATGTTTCCAGATGTGGAACGAGAGAGAGAGAGAGGAAAACAGACTAAAGCTTCAGGAACACTCTGTTATGTTGCAATGAAATCTGTGCCCGCTTGTAACTGGACCACAGTAGATAAAGCATACCTCTCTGCTGGCTGCAAAACTAAAAGACCAAATCAAAACAAAAACATTTAACTTTGCGTTTTGAATAAAGATCAGAATATAATAACATGGGTGTTCAGTGATAAGCGYGTCTCTTTAGAGAGCATGTCGCATTAAGTTTCAGTCAAACTAAAAATAGACTGTTTATAGATGTTACAAAAATGTGGCTCCACTTCAAAGACTTTAGTTACATGGACAGAGGGCGACATCTAGTGGACAATCACAGTTTTACAGGCTGATATCTCTTCAATATTCTTTTCGCCCGTGTTACTGTCAATTAGCAAAATATCTTATGAACCAYTGGACAGATTTTATTGAAACTTACAAAAAATCATCACCGAATGTTCAACTACACCTGATTAATGTTTGAGATCAACACAATTTAAGATTGCTGCCACAGCCACCTGATCCTATGAAAGAGAAAAGGGTCTTCATTAAACTCAACAATTTTAGACACGGACCAAAAGGTTGGTGTGGTAGTAGCTTAGATTGATCTTCAACACATATACTAAGCACATACATATTGTGTAAAACCTTTGTTTAAATTTTGTCACTGACTATTCTGAAGTCAATGCTGTCTGTTAGCAAAATATTCCAGGATCCAGGAAACAACTCTTAGATTTACCTTTACAATTGATTAACTTTTAGAACCAGCATAATGTAAGATGGCCACCACAGCCAACTTGCATTGCAAAACAYTAAAATGGTTATAACTCAGGCAATTTTATAAATAATGACGTAAAACTCAGTGTAGTTGTAGCCGAGGGTCATTCACAACACATACTTTAAATGCTGCTCATTGCGTGAGATCTTTACTGAAAAAAATGACCATTAATCTTTGGAGTCAACCTTGTTTGTCTGTTAGCAAAACATCTAATGAACCATTGGACARACTATTATGGAACTTTCAGAAAGTATCCACTGGATGTTTATCTACATCTGATTAAAAGACAACTTTTATTTACTGTATATATAGAACACAGACACAGAACCAGCTTGAAGCATACAAAAATAAAAAACACTGGTTTCTTATGGCTGCTCAGTTAAATGAGATAAATATTAAAATGAAATGTTAAACTAGTCCACCTCTATGTGTAAACATTTAAATAAGCCTCAATTACCCAAAGCTTTGTATCAAATTAATGAAAAACTGTTGCCAGAAAAATCAGTATACAATCTCATTAAAACTTCATATAACTTACATTTGATGCAGCTAACTCTGCAGAYATTTTGTCTTCATTTGTTTTAAAATGAAACAGATATCCCAAAGCAAATTTGGAATAAAATAATTCAAGTTGACATTCAGTTTATGGTTAGCTTTTTAAAACTCTTCAGGGTTTCGGTGCGTTTCAAATACAACATTCTGCAGCTGTGGAGGACAGAGACGACAGCCATATCTCAGTTATTAAAGGCAGATTGAAAAAGTCCTGTTGTTCAGTTTTCCAGCTAAAAAAAAAAAAAGCTGGACAATAATAAGACATGAAGGGATGTTCAGGAGTTCCTGGTCGACAGGCACTGGTTGACCACCTCCAGTAGAGAAGAGTTCTCCAGAGCTGCTGCCACTCTCTCCTTGTCTGCCAGCTGTTTGTTCACTGCACAGAAGAGCATAAAAAACAACAATCTGTACAATTATTTGACTTAGAAAACAAAGCCTTAACTTCTGATCATGTCTGCCGCTTCTACCTGCGTCCTCTGAGGCATGAGTCCCAGGAGTGATGCGAACATCGATCTGGATAGGAAAGGGAAAAAAAGCAGACTTTACCCAACTGAAGGATGTGACACTGAAAGTCTACCCCTTGTGTGCAAACACACAAACATACTTTGAACCTGTCGGGCAGGGAGCGCAGCAGCTTGACTTTGATTGACAGTCCAATGAGGGTTGCCATGCTGCAGTGAGGTATGGTGGGGGTAAATTCGATACTCACGGTACTCTCTGCATCATTAACCTGAAGAAAAGACACAAATAAAACACTTAGCATTGATGTCAATGGCATCACAAGTGATTTCATATGAACAAATTTAAGGAGGGGGGGTATTATATATTTTCAGGACACATAGTTCAGTTCCATACCTCAGTCAAGTGTTGCCATTAGTTGTTATGATAATGCTGTATATATCAAAAAATAAATGTGTCTTTGCATCTAAAGGCCTGGAAATTGGCCTCTGTCTCTTTAAGAACCTCCTACTGTTTCGGACACTCCCACTTCAGCACAATGCTACGGGGGGAGGGGTGCTCTGTGGGGCGGGAACCCAGCTGCAGTCTCAGCTCCAGGGAGGAGCTATGTAGAAATAGGCGGAGCTTTGTACCAGCAAGAGTTTAGGCAGCTCCACATGGTTACCACAGGAGATTCAAGGATTTCTCAGACATGCAGGAATGAGTCAAAGCAACTCTCTGGGTATGTTTTTGATGAGGGAATGGCATTGTATTACATAACAATTTGCATATCTCCGCCCCCCTTTAACAAAACAAACAAATTTGCTCAGGGTTCATCAAGATCATTTAAATATATTACATTTTTGTTATTAACCATAAGAGAAGATGCCCTGAACTCCAACTTAAAGCACTCAGGATCCTCTGCGTAATATGTGTGTTTGAGCTTTTTCAGCAGGACAATGAAGGCTTACAACACACGTCATGTGAATGAGGAGCAGGGTTCTGACACAAATTCAATGACCTTTCAATGAATTTCCAGGAATAATTCCTTCAAATTCTGCCTGACCACATATGAGCAAAAGAATGAATAAATGGACGTCGCAGCTATAAAAACAACTCAAATGATTATATCACTGTTAAACTACAGCAGTCCACTGAGTGAAACAATCCAAACATCAGAGCAATGAATAATTAAAATAGAAATATCATTTCCTTTCTATCTTATCAAGCAGACTACGGCATAAATTAAAATCAATATAACCATGTCCTAAAACTCACTGCATCTGCAAAAGTCAAAGTGACACATGGATATTTTATTCAGATGAACTACCTGAGATTCATGTACATAAATAAATACTGTAGGAATTTATTCATGTACATAAATAAATACTGTAGGAATTTATTCATGTACATAAATAAATACTGTAGGA